ACATTAATTCTCATATTTCTAACACTTATTCATTAGAACACTAGAAAAATATATTTAAATCGCTTGAAGCTCAAGCTGAAAAAAGGTACGTTCAGTTTTCCGATGTTGGTTTGTAGGTGGATTACGATTGTATCCGAGACTAAGCCTATCTCCTCACTACTTGCGATTACAATTTTAGGTTGTATTACAAATAAATATATAAAATAATAATAAGAATATTGAAATGAAAAACTTAAAAATGTGTTTTTTCTTCATTTGCTCCCAATTCTGGACTAATCGTGAATAGATTATAATGGTATTTTCTTATTTCAGTTTGCCCAAACCCTGATAGACACAGATCTGGTTGTTAATGAGCTAAAAGGTGAAATACAAAGAGTGAAGCACCAACTTCATCATATGTCTCAGCAGAGAATAACGCAGGAAGGACAGGATAGAATGTTAAAAGCGCCTCCTCCAACGCCAGTTGATCGTGAGGACTCTCTACTAAGCAAGCTTAAAATCGAGAATAAAAAGTTTGAGTCTTTTTTTCAATATTCCTTTTTCAACTACGAGTTGGTTCAAGTTTTGATAAATAGGCGGGACTTACTTTAGATTTCTTCAAATTAAACAGGCTGGTTGAGTCTTTTTTTAAATGTTGTTCAAGCTCATTCTCACTGATATCGTCTCATTTTAAGGTTGATTTATTTATTATTTCAAAATACAATGCTTGTTAAAACGAACACGCAATTCTGTTGCGCTCAGAATCAGAAAAATTAACCAAAATACCAGAACAAAAATTAATGATGTTCATTTCGAGTTTCAGTTTTTAGTTTTGCAGAAAGCAAATTGTTAATAACACAATTAGTACTGGAATACGCGGCATCTTTGTTAATTTATCAGATAAAACAGGGATTACGAAAAGCAAATGATCACAAGCCACTGTGGTGTGCAAAACAATGCAAAAACGATAAAAAATTCAGCTCGCTGTTTCGCCATTAGTTGCCTTGAAAAGTCATAATCCAGAATTTTTACTTCTGAGATTATCGCCAAAGAATTAAGCTGAGAACTACGAACTTCTATTTTAAAACCTGCTAACTTTTTCCAAAAAAACAGTAAATTTTGTCGGGACCGTAACCAATTTGGCATCCCAACCTGAAAGAAATTAGTCTACCCAATGATTTAATTGCAGGTTAAAGCGCGACTTGGACGCCAAAAGAAATATTATAGAAAAATTGAAAAACGATCTTGCAAAAGCTCGTGATATCCTTTGCGACTACGAGAAGAAAGTATCCCTTCTTCACGTCCAAACTGTGAGGTCCAATAAGGCGATGAAGAAAAGTAAAGAGAACTTTTATGCCTGCTTGAAGGAGCAAGAAGAGAAAATTAATTTTTTGAATGATTCAAATGGTCTATTGGAGATGGCTGTTAAGGAAAAAGCCTCGCTCTTGTCTGAAAAAGAACAGCAAAACAGCATTTTGAGAAACAGCTTGGAAAGCTTAAGAAAGGATTTTGATGAAACCGCTTCGAAATGTTCGGCTTTGGAGAGTGAAAATCGGCGCTGCAGCCAATCGATCGATGTACTGCGAGGCAGCCTGCTGACGATTACTTCTGAAGTCGGGCTCTCAAAGGAGTTCAATCAGACCTTGGAAGAAGTAAGTAAATCTGCATATTTTGTACTTTGTATTTAAATAATAGCCAAGTTTGTCTAAACTTAAGGCAATTTTCTATTTGGAAAATTATGTGCCATTTAAGGGGTGTTTAAGAAGGCAGATTTTATTTTTAAATAAAACGTATAAATTTAACATAAACGTAGCAAACCAATAGGATATTCTGTGCTCCCAAACTAACGGCTGCCGTTAGCTTTTATAAAGATCTCAGCAACTTTTCTAAATACATACAACTTCTCAATTGAAATTTTCGTCATCTACAGGTGTCTTTGTAAACTGAAAGTCTTAAAAATTTCAGTAATATCGCAATAAATCTGGTTTTTTCATCCAAATAAATGTTGAAGAAACAAAGTTATGCCTCAGAAAAACCTTAAGAAATCACATCGACGTGATAAAAACGATTTTTTTACAAGCGTATTTTCTATTTTCGTAAACGGTTAAAAACCGACGTTTTTAAATCTGGTTTCGTTTGTATTTTGGTATTTTTATTCATTACAGAAAATAAACGATTTAAGCGATATATGCAATAGAGTGGCCGCCAAGAGCAGTCAGCAGAAAGGTGCTTATGAAACTGCGATAGAGAAAAAAGAGGCTGAACAGTTGATGATGACCAATCAAATAAGCGATTTATCAATGCAGTTGAAAAATCAGCAGACCTGCTTTGGGAACCTTGAATGCAAATGTCAGGAGCTGCAAGAAAAACTATCGCATTTCAAGGAATATCCGGAAAAGTAAGAGCTTTTGAAGTTTRCTTTTTTGGTTTGACCGACAAATTCTCGAAACAATAAAATGCGTGAATCCTGAGACCAATTCGATATAAAAATTCATATAAACATGATCTGAAATGGTTGTTTTGATCTGCAAAATATTTGGAAAAACATCGCTGCCTCTCGGCTTTTAATTTGTTTCTTCAATTTTTTTGAAGCGACAGTTTTCAATGTATTTTTTAATAACTATTTCCACGTATTTTGCACTGCCGCCTATTCTTGTCGTAAGATATTTATTTTTAATTTAGTGCTGCTTTCTAAATWTTCTTATTTAGAAAGMTTTGCATTTTTTCAGCTTTTTCACGACAGGCAATTTRATATTTTCAAATGTTAAAGTTTGCATTGTCGTATCAATTACTGAAAACGCATGTTCCATTTTGCGCTATTCGATTGCTTTTCAGATGTAAAGTGTTGGAAGAAAAGTGCAAATCAGCGTACAAAAATTTGCTCATTTCCGAACAGGAGTTCCAAAAAGAAAAGATGGATATGGAAAAATTGATAGAAGAATTAATGGAAATTGTAAAGGAGAATAAAGTGACCCTGTCGCAGATGTCTGATATTAATGTGCAACAGAAAATAATTATCAAAGAACAAAATGTAGCCCTTATATCTCAGGTAAGAAGGGAAAATATCGTATAATCAGAGAAAAAACGTCCGGAAGCCACTGACAGAATAAAAAAACCGTTTTTACATCAGCATGTGCTCCCTCATTGGCAGTAATCGCTTGCAAAAATTCCTTTAAATATCCACAGCCGTTTGGCAAACATAGGCTAAAAGTCCAATAGGAAATAATTATTCAAAAACGAAGATTACTTTAATTAATTAATACAAATCCACTTTTTCCTTGGTGCATGTTGTGCATAAATCAGTCCTGTTTAGTAAATATTATTTTGCACACAGGAAGAACAGATAAAACTAATCGAGAAACAATCCGAATCTTTTAAAATGAAGAGCCAACAAATGGAGCATGAAGTACTGGAACTGAAGAAAAATTATTCGGAACCATGTAGTAAAGAAGCGTGTTTGTGCATTTCCAAGGAACTAGAGGAAATTAAGTAAGCATTAGTAAGCATTAAGTAAGCATGAGATTATTTCCTATATACATACATTTCTCATAAATGGCAATGGGCGCAGGAAAAGCTTGTCCGAAACTTGATATTTTCGGACATACAGGGTATTAAAAGTCGTACTTTTAATACGTTTTCAGACCCTCCATTGTATATCAACCGCTTTGAGCCAGCAGCTCATTTAACTCTTTAGTTCTACGTTTTTTTTTGCAGAAATGCCTTGAATGTAGAAAAGGACACACAGTTATTGAAGGAAAAAATAATCGAAGATCAATCGCAAACAATTATCAACCTGCAAACGCAAGTGAATGAGAAAATGTTCGAATTAAATAAAGCACAAAGTGAAACGAAAAATCTGGAAATCGAGATCAACACGATCAACGACAAACTATTAAAAAAACATGAAGAACTTGACATTGAAATTGACCAAAAGGAAAATTTAATGGAACGATTAAGGGTAAACAGAGTAGCTAAAAGTTTAGTTAGAGGATCTAACTCAAATCTCTGGGGTCATTTTTTCGCTTTTACAAAATTTCGCTCGACAGTGCAGTTGATTAAAATTTTTTTGGCGATTAACAGGAATTGGAATGTCAAAGAAATCAACTTTCCGAAGAAATCGAAGATTTTGAAGGTATGCTACGTACATTCAAAGAAAACTGTGGCGATAAAGAAGAGCAGAGGAAAATTTTAAGAAGTCTGGAAGAGGAAATCAGTAATCAGAAAAAGCAATGGGACATCCAAAAAATGACGTTAGGTAAAAGTTGCTTCCAGACATTCATAGTTTTCCATATATTAGTCTTCTAGTAAATAACGTTATTACTAAAACAGAACGTTATCGATGATCCAATCGAAAATCTTCATCAAAATATGTTATTAAACGGCTTTTTAATTTGCAGGAAAAGAGAAGCGAAAAGCTGTTTGCGTTGCAAAATTTGCAACCCAAAAGCTGTTGGATACTGTTGAAGATTTCCAGAGACAAGTGGGTGCCCAAAAGAAAGTGCAACATCTTCTAACCAGAATGCTGCACGAAAAAGACGAACAACTATGCTTAGTCACTTCTAAGGTGAGATTCAAAGAGCCCAATTAGATATTTTTCTAGTGAAAGCCTGTAGAAAATCAGAGAACGTTCTTTTGCAAGAGAATATCAATTTCCATTTAGTTTGAGTTCTTTTTAATATTAAAGGAATCAAAAACATTTTTCAGATTTCAAGTATAAACAGCATAACCAAGCAAGTACCCAACCTGGAAAGCAGCGAACTAACTATGAAAGAATTGTTTTTTCACAATTCACTAATAGCAGCCAGTGCCTCCGATGTTAACACCAACACTTCCCGGTACTCATCGTGTTCGAGCGGCAGTAAAACGACAGAATTTTCAACAGTTTGTCCTAAATTATGTCCTGTCCTAGGTGTAAGCATTTGTCCTAAAACTCGAAACACACTCAGTGCGTTAAGTAGTAATTTGGGGGGTATTAAGGAAGAGGGAAGTCGAGATATTTCGTAGAAATTGTTCCTTGACTTCCAAAGTGTTTTCAATAAAAGTTTTTTTGCTTGCTCTGTACCTAGATATGGGCATATTTTCATGTTTTTCGTCCCTTTTTTGCTCATTTATCGGAAGCAAGATGAGCATTTTTACATTACTCAATAGAGAAATAAATCCGGGCAGTTTTCTCAAAAAAGTATTGGTTTCAAGAAGTTTTAGACATTCCTCTTTTTTTGAGTTATTTTGTTTCTAGCATGTTTTTCAATGAGTTCGATGCATTCCTTGCGTCGGTGATGTATGTTGAAATTGCGCTGTTTTTTCACGAATCCGACATTCCATATTGGATTATGGAATTTTAAACGTGTATTTGGGGCGTTGTTAGTTAGGAACTCGTAGATCGAGAGAAGAAACGCGTCGCTTCCCAACACAAAATATCAACTCCACCTTGTAAACTCTGCATGGATATTCAGCAGACCGGTGAGGTGCAATAATACAGGTAACAAAAGCCGAGAAACCCATTCACTCGATTCAAAACGGATATACCGAACGTTTCAGCCAGTCAGTCGCTTTTTGTTTGTGGTACGTAAGTTACTCTGCCTCGTGCTAGTCGAACAGTTTTCTCCACAAATTTGCTCATTATTTTGTTTCCTTTTAACTGGAAAAATTAGTTTTCACTTTAAGTGCATTCGGTGAGTCAAATTGCTGGTTTAGACCAAAAAGTTGACGCAAATCGCGCAAGGTGTTGTGATAACACAGTGAAAATGTGTGTGAAGACTGTGAGGTGGTCATTGTTTTGCTGATATCACATCAATGAGAATTTGGACAAATTCATCAGTCATTCTACGCAGGTAAAATTCATTTTGCCTCATTATGTCGTCCTTCCTGTTTGCTTTCAGGAAATGTCCTCCTTCCATCATTGCCGCAAGTGAATCAAGGTTGTTCTAAAGAAATGCCTGTTAAACCTTGTCATTCTTGGGCAAGAATTTTCCCATGAAATCAAATACAGTGCGAGTTTCAAACTTGGAATAACTTCAGTAAATTAAAAACATGTTTTTTTCGGACAATACGCTCGGACACGTCGATTTGTGTTCAAAATTGCGCTCTTTTTAGAAAATGTTGACCGTTTTTTTTTAATTTTCAACAAAAATTCAAGAAATCTGATTCAACTCCAATTTAGTCCATTAATTAGCTGCCCAAAGCCTAAAGAAAAGACGCAATAGGGTGTTTTCATTGTATCAAAAATTCCTACAAACTTAATCTATGGTAATATATATATGAAAGATTAAATAAGCTATTTTGTTAAATATCTAATAAACAAATTCAGCTAAAACTCAAATTATTCATGAATCTCTAAAACGCAATCCTATTGGTTGTGACGTCTCAGGTCATATAAATGGCGGATTGTTTACGTTCTGTGCATAGTGTTTAGTTGTGTGGTTGTATTTCATTAATTATTTTGTGGATTTAAATAATTTATAGTTTGTGTTAAACTAAAAAGTGGCTTCAGAAGAACAAACAATTTACCATGTGTACATATTTTTATGTTTGGAGCACTTATTGAGGTATTCTTGCATCCTGGCACAAAACACCACTTATTTTGTGATCCATACATGTCACTATTTTCCATTATGCAAGATAATAATAATCAATAAAATAATGATAATCACATTAACGTAAATAATAAGACAAAGCTGCGAAAACAACAAAATAAACACGAGACACTTTGTTGATATGACCTGCTACGTCACAATCGGGATAGGCAACCGACGATACGAATTCGGCGTTTTTGGCGGAAAACATCTGATTTGAATTAAAATGCGCTTTAAAATTATTATGGACTTTTTTTGCAAAAAAAATATATCAGTGTAATGTTTGTCATAACTACTTTCTATATATCAACAAAAAAAAAATTGAAAACACCCTATTTACCTGCACTTTTCGCTCTTGCAACTCCTCAATGTTATCCAATTTTGGTTAGCTAAAAGCTTTGGTTTTCAACTCACCCCATACGAAATAGTCCATAGGTGTTAAATCCGGAGATTTGGGAGGCCATTCAACAGAAACTCGTCCACCAATCTATCTGTCTGGAAATTTATCATCCATACACGTACGGCTTGGGCTTGCAAAATGAGGGTCTGCTGGAAATTATGATCGAAACATATTTTCACTACAGAAAATTGAGAATTCCTTGCAGAAAAATCCGTGTTGTTACTCAATCGGCCAAATATTGACGTCATTCTTAATCCTAGATCCATTCTTCCGCTGTTACCAACAGCATTGTTCTGGACTTTTAGATATAAAGTTAGTGCAAGTTTCAGTTAAAGTGAATAAACAACTTGGGTGTTCATTAATTTTTTGCTTAAAAACTTAACGTAAAACGTAAAGATACAAACTCACACAAAAACCAAAATATAGTTCTTCAGCAACTGACCTGAATGTCTCAACTAAGCCGTTGATAGCAAACAAATATAATCAATTCAACTACGACCTTAAAACCGGAAAATAAAAACTTTGTGACAAAGAAAGGTTCTCCGATAAAAAATGCTAAAATTGGTGAACAATTGGTCTTTCAATACTCACGCAAATCATCGTTAATCAATTTGTTGGAAACAAACCTATTGAAACTAAAGTAACTTAATGCGCATTCGGTAGCTACGACAAAAAAGTGTTATGTTYGTCATAAAATATTATTTTTCTYTTATTTTTCATCAGGATTACATCGAAACGAGATTCTCAAGTTTAAACAAGTCCTGATTATTGGTTCCAATGCTTAGCGGTACTGATAGGCTGTTAATTGGTCGTTGAAGTAGTTTAAAATAATGCTTAATAACAAACGTGAAAACCGCGTAGAAACTGAGAAAAGTTCTTCTAAATGGTTCTCGTACTCTCTAAGTGTGATCCGATGCAGGCAGGAAATTACATATTTTGAAGTTAATCCAACGATGCTTACGGTTTTTTGGAAAAACTAAGAAGATGGTTTTCTCTAACTTGTTCATAGATAGTAATACGGTTTTTATTTATCGCTTAAAGTTTGGCACGGTCCATATAAAAAGAGAAAGGCGAATAGTTGGGCGCTGAGTGTATGGATTATTTATATGTATGTTGGTATACAATAGGCTGATTGAACTAGAACTCGCTGTTTTGTATTTTCACTACGTATTTTTGGGAGAATAGAAAATTTAGTTCCTTTTGTAGATTTTTAGTGTCTTCTGTGCTTGAATCGGGAGAATATGCGCTGCTCAACCAACTTGAGTATAAATTGAGTTAAATTAATAAATTGAAAATATGTAATATATTGTCACAGTTCTAATGGTAAATGAATACTAAACGAATATTAAATGGGAATGTTATTACTAAGAATTCCAAAAATGCCGCTAATTGTCTACCGAGGATTCGGCCTTGGCTATCGCTTTCTACACACGAAATTACCAACTCGTGCACTGTTTACAGCTAAAATAAAACTATATGTTCTAATGGTTCCACGTGAATTACCACTTCCAGTCCATTTTTTTCGAAAAGTCTTGTTATTTTATTAGGGAAATAGTGATTAAATAGTTTTTAGGCCCCTTAATTGCAACATGTTTTACGTTATCCGTTATTCTGAGCATGCGCATTAGTAAAGAAATAACCGTTTACGTTATTAGAGGATAACGTGTTCCTTTATGTACGTACGAGTATCGGTAACGTTAAAAAGCAGAACGATGGTGTTGACATATTTGACATATTTTTAATATTATTAATAAAAAAAGCGGCTATAATAGAATAAGAAATCTTTGTAAATTTAATTAAGATTTTTTCATTAATTAGTCTACGCCATTATTGCGCAATTACGGATTTTATGTGAAAATTGTTTTGGCAAATTTGAACTTTGGCAACTACTAACATCGCACGGACTGGTTCTAACCTCTAACCCATAACATAACTATTTGATTTTAAATTTTTATTTAATATTTTCGGAACATGTTCCTCCTGAAGCCTAAAATTTATAAGGCGATCTCCGGGCTCAATATTTTCTAAATTAAAAATAGCTCTTCGGTTTGCAACAACAGATGGGTCAAAGATGTAGTGTAAATAATGTTAACATTCCCCTATTAAAATATATTTATTCTTTCACATGCAGGAAAACAGATTTCAGGTTTTCGAATTTTTTTGATTCTTTAACTTCTTCCAGCCCAATAAAAACACTTTTGGGGCGCTTTTATTTACGCTAATCGGTACGTCTGGGTAACACTGTGTTGAGTTGCGCTTTTGCGTTGTTGCCGTTCTCTGAACCAATAACTCATGGTCGGTGACGGAATTTTAACATCTAACAGAAAAAGCCATCAACATATTGCTTTTGCGCATACGATTGCTTGAAACTATTTGGTCCAAAACGGGAAACTTCGGAGTTTTTAGAGGAGTTTTTTTATTAACGGAAATTTTAGAGCGATGAGGATGACGAGTTTTCCAAATATTGACTATAAGCTTTTACTTTATCTGGGCGATTTTTGAGAAAACGTAAATTTTGTCGAAAAAAACACGATAATTTTGTTTCGATTTTGTCCCAAATTCAAAGGTGAAACGGGTATTCGAAAAAGATAAAGAAGACCAAACTGTAAAGACGACGATTTTTCTTGCAAAACCCATATTTTTACTTTTTTGTATAAAAGACACTCACTCACTTTGTCAGTATTTTACAGTAAAACGTTAGGAAAAATACCTTAAAATTGTCAGTATTTGTATGTGAATCTTTAGAAAATGAGCATTAAGAAAAAAGGGAACTTTGCTAACGCTGGAAAATCTGAAATTTTGAAGAAATGTTAATAATATTATTAATAAATGGCCCTTAAAACAAATCTAAAAACAAGTGAAAAAGTCATCAACATTTTCCCATCAACTTTGCGAAAGTTAGTGTTTGGGGATTTTTTAAATCGAGGAATCCAACTTTTCTACTACGAATTTTGTCCGCTAGTGTTTTTTTGGCCTAAACCATCCCCTTTCGGATAAGGCAAATATGCCAATTTTTGGCAAAAGATGCTTCCAGGTTTAAACCCTTTTTATTCTAAAGTAAAAGATGGCAGCAATTAGTAGCAAGCAATGAGCAAAAACTAGATCGTTTATTTACGTCTTCGTCTACAAAATGTTCAGTAACTTTTGACCTTAATTACCATCCGGAGTTTTGTTACTTTTTTAAATTCCAAAAAAATGATTTGGAACAGTCTGGTCACTGTGAATAATTTTAGCCTTCCTAAATTATCCAAGACGGTGGCAAATTATGTTCAGTTTATGCAGTCCACGTTATTTAAATCCCCCGGCTAAAAATAAATAGAGAGTGTTTTAGATAAAACGGCCCAAAGAAGAGATAAATACTTCCAAATAAAACATATATGTAGGTATATTTGTGGCATAAGTTTGAAACATTTGCTGAATACCACATCGGACAAATTCTCATTTGATGAAGTTTTCCGTTTATGAACGATTGTTTTGCATACATTTTGCGGTATTTCAATGGTACAGCGTTGAATTTTTCGGGTTTTAGTCCTTATCGGTTTAGTTACATAAAAACATCCCAAAGGAAAAAGTTCCGATGGCCGATGATTGTATGAATTTTGCAAACTGTGGCTGGCTTTGTAATGATTTTTCGCAATGAGTATTCGAAGAGTTTTAGTGTTCGCTTTTCCTTAAGCTTCTTTTTTCTCAAGCTTTTCCTTCCTGCTGTCTGTAACAAACGGTTATTTTTTAGAGTCAAATCAAGACCGTCGTTTTATTTATACTACATATACAAGAACTACTTTGACTAGTAGAAGAAGACTACTTGAAATTTGTCATTTATGAAATATTGAGAAAAATGTTATTGCTATTCTTGAAATAATTTTGCTTCCACAAACCGAGTTTCATGTTTTCACTAATATTTAATACCGGTTTGGGTCGTTCCGCGCTTAGCCAACAGTAAAACAATTACCAATTTTATTGTCTCATATATTGACAATGTTGTGCACAGTACCATTCTTTCGGAGTATAATTAGCACCAAACCGGAAATTCCAATTCTATTATTCTGGGTTTCGGGGAAAATTAGATGATGAGGGTGATTCATAACTAGAGGCTAACAAAAAGCATTTTTTAAACACCGAAACAATATTTTTGGATAGCTTAAAGCTTAAACCAATAACCTTTTTTGGGCATCGATACAATGACCCGATTTGCAACAGAATGTCAGGATCATGAAAATTCACCCATTTTTCGAAAATATCCGTGTTGAAGCCAATATTGTCAATTCTCACAACAAAATCATCCACTCGTTTTTGTGATGATCGCTTCCGAATCTAATCTTCGCCCGAATAAGAAACGCAATTTACAATATTTTACACACTCATACTTTTCCAGTCCAGTTTTCCATAGTCCGAAAACATGTTATTGCCCTTTGCCAAGTCCATTTAGCTAATTAGCAAAAGTGCCAAGACGACGACGACGACAACAAGTAAATTAGCAAAAGCATAATTATTTTAATAAAAATAATAAACAATGCACGTAATTAACTAAAATTGTTTTCAATGTAAAGATTGTTCCGAAAAACGCATATAACTATTGAAGATAATTAATAAAACGTGCGTCGGTTGACATACAATAACCCCCCTTGAATATTCAGTTTACTTGTTATTATGCACCTAATATTTTAAATAAAAGTGAACATTATCAATTTCGGAACAAGCACGTACGCGAGCCGTTTCAAGCCGTCGGCTTTGACCTGAAAAATCCGCATTTCATAAAATAACTTTTGCGATTGTTGTGCTAACAACCAGTTTAGCTTTATTTATTATTCAAGCTCGTCCACTGTTACGATAGATTGTTTCATTATTTGCTTTAGTGAGATAATTAATTGTATGTAATGTAAACTGTGCCCGTTCGAGGAATTTACAGCTGTTGCATGTGAATGTTGTTTGAAAATGATCCGTTTTAGGTCTGAACGGAACAATGAATGGCACAAATCCGAGCCCCAACAATAAAGCGGATGAAGTCAGACCCCACAGTTATCCTAGTGAAAAAACCAAAGAAACTAATGGAAAGTGCTTATATGGGAACAATAATGGATCAGTTCAAATCAGGTAAAAAAATTAAATTAAATATATTTCTAAGCGGTTTTCAGTTGCACATCAAGATTGATCGTTTGCTCTATTCTGGCTACTATCCATTGAAAGTGGTAAGAAATTATTCAGTTCCACTCCTTAAAGCCAATGTATCGACTGTGCACCGTAGAGGGCAACAACTTTTACTTATTTTTCAACAAATTTTATTGATAATCATCATCATAAAGGATCATTCCTACGAGCTGGCGCCCTATCCTCCATTTTCGACTCGTTAATCCTCACTAAGATCAGTACACTTTTACAAACTACCGCAGTTGCCATAAAGGCCGCAATGATTCTATAATGATAAAACGCGATTCACACGACACAAAGGATCATCGGCCGATTTTATCCACTCTCCGAAGCAAACTGAACAACAGAAAAAATACACCGAAGTACAGAATATACATGATTATTTATTTAATCATTTGCATGTTCGTCCTTATTATTATACTAGGACCTTTTATATTTGCCTGAATTTAATATGAAAATTAATAACCGAATTAATTTGGTTTCTCTGAAAATATTGACTAATCAAAAGAGTCGCGAAGGAATCATTTTGGACTCCGTCCATCTCATTTCCTGTATGGCTGTCACGACTTTTCTCAGTTCTTCTAATTGTTTTATCGCTCTTGAGTCGGTTTTAAAGACCCCTGTATTAACCATCGAAGCAAAACTCACCCTGTATATCAGTAAAAATTCAAATGACTCATGGCTTATAGGCCGGAAAATTTTGCAACCAATACGATCAAATTTTTGATATTTCATACCTTTAACATATAACAATTTTTTATATGCAGATTAGACGAGCAGCCGCTTAGTCACACACAAACAATAAGCCTAATGACTACCGTGCCGCAAAACATCGCCTGCCGAAGCTTAGGAGACAAACACACTCCTACTAGAAACAGTCTGAGGCACAGCCGTATGATTGTTATGAATAGGAATGGAAGAAGTATGTTCTGAAAAAACGTTTTTATTATTTAACCACTAGTGAATATTTGCCAGTCACGGGCAAGAGTCGCAGGATACCCTCTAGGTGATAGTTCTTGATTACTTTTTGATAAATAATTCGTTCTTATTGCGAAATAGGAGCACTATTTATCAATCTGCAATAAAAGACGTGAGGAAAGTCTTTTTTAAAGACAAACACTTTTGAGGCGAAATACCCAAAAAGAAGTTTGTAAAAAAATGAATCCGCCTCAACAATATAGAACTTATCCACAATAAGCTACTAGACGCACCAGTTTGATTATCGCTGATATTTTCAGTACCCAAAAAATACCTACCATTTGTGATAAAGCACTACAAACTAGTCAAGACCATGAAGGTCCTAACGATAGTTATAGGAATCGTTATGTGTATGATATCGGCCTGGTTGGCTTTATGGAGTCCTACACTAAATGCAATCGACTTCCCTTATTGGAGTGCTGCGCCTGTTTTCTGCTCCGGCGTGGTTGGCTGTTTCTTTCTCGGATTCTGTCCCAGACCGTACCCTGGCCGGACACTCGCTTGCCACTACCACGTCACAAAGGTAAAAATAGCGAATAAAACTACTGATTCATTCAGCCAACTTCATTTTCAGCTTATCAGTATCTCCACTACCAGTATATCAATTGTAGCATCAGCCGTAGTCTTGACGTGCTGCATCACCCATCTGGTGTACCTTCAGAGCGCTTCCTGCAGTCCACACGATAAGCTTAACACGACTTGCGTGTGTTCACTCGTCAACACAACCAGCATAGTTTTCAACCAAAGTTACCACTACGAGGACTTTACCTGCGAAGAGGTGGACTGTTTCCTCAAAGGCGTCATTGCCACTTCTTTGGTCTTAAACATCTTAGCCATCGTTTTAGAGGCGATGTACTTGTGCGTGCATTGGATCACCAGTAGAAAGTATGTATATAGTAAAGTGCCTTTGACCGAAACGGCTCAGGTGCAGGAAAGATGACCAAAATTGATTTAAACTAGACTTAACTGTTTGTAAGTGTGACCAAAGCTGTAATGAGCGGCTATTCAACATGGCAGTGTGGACGGTTTATTTTATGAAAACGCCATGTATATGACCTCCTGATTGCCCAACTTTTTCCTAATTTAACTGACTTCCTATCTTTTACGGTTTCGGAGATCCACATGCAATGCATCCTCATTTTGGACGCCCTGTATATACGTTCTATATGGTTGGGAAGGACTCGTTTTGAAAACTGTTTTGTTGGGTTTCACTGCGAAAGTTTCTGGACAATGCTGAAAAAAAAAGAAAATGTGTTTAATAGAGTTAATTTTTTTATATCTGCCCAAAGCCATGTTATTGAAAATCAGCTAAACAAAAACAGAAAAATATAAAGAATCCATAAAACTTCAGTTGCGTTTCGAAAAACCAAACTCAGTTCAAACTAAAGGATTTATAGATTAGAAATAATTCTTCCATCCTCCATTTTTGACCCATTAATCGTCAAAAAGCTCACACTACACTTGATATCACACAATGAAAATCTACTTAGATAATAATATATAGTCATTTTAGCCAAAATAAAGATTGTTATATCATGTCAATAATGGTTAGCAATTAATCAATTAAGATATATATAAGATTGTAAAATTAAGTTATTGTCTAGCAAAATGTGTGTAACTTGTATGAATCACATGCAATTAACATATAAGAACTCGTCAGTTATCTACAGATATGTTTTTAAGATTGGGCTAGTGTTGTCAAAAGCGTTATTAACTAAAATGAAAAAGTATTTACTGAAAATATAGACATTACACACACCCATGCTCGAAGTAATTAATATTTAACCTGTTTAAACAAAAGTTTACCTTAGGAAATCGTATAAGGACGATTGGGAATTCAATTTTGTTGCCCCCTTTGCCTGAAAGTCAATTTAAATATTACACAAGTATATAGTAGTTTATCAGAACTCGGAGACGAATTAGGTCCATCGCTGTAGTGAACAGGAGTATCTGTAAATGTTAGAAGTATAAGCACCAGACCAGTATTAGCGTTTTAATCGTATTTTTTATATAGTGTGATGAAACTAAAATAAAATACTTAGTAAAAACTGGTGGTTTATATCTAATAACACTATCAATTATAAATACATGTCCTTCTCTCAACTAAGCAATATACAAATATACAACAATATTGCAAAAAAACTGGTAAAACTCTGTCAAAAAATGTATATATGTAATGGGCAGCTATCACATTCCTGCTCAAAAAAAAGCCTGAAGCCGCATGGTTTCTGTGTGTTGCAATATTTAATACAAATGGTAAAACTATCGTAATAAAAATGAGCACATTTTCTATATTTACAACATACCTGCATAGTGTTTTAAGTTGCCAACCTGCAGTTTGTGCAGCTTTTGTAAAACTTACTATTAGAACAATATTAAAACTACAAGTTTCCATAATATACATAACAATTGTAAAAGCAAAGTTTAAAAATACATATTTTCAGTTTTTTAATCAGCTGGCATAATAATAGTGGCAAGAATACGTTAAGATGTTGAAGTTACAATACAAAATTGATAGAAGCCCTAGAATTTGTTTTCAATGTATGAACCCCTGCCATTTTATGCAAGCGTATTCTGGATTGATTCATAGAATCAATTTCCTCATATTAAGTGAGCAATATCTCGCAAATCTCGAGACTCCATTTGGCGAGAACGAGAAAGACAACACATTTTTAAAATGCAACAATTAACAACCACAACTGCAGTCCCCATAATTAGTAAACCTTTACAGCTTGCTCTAAATGGATACTAATTTTGGAGGCGGAGTAAGATTATTAGGATGCTTTGCTTTGAGTATGGCGCTGATCCAGTTCGCTCTCATCGCAGCATCGTTCCAGACCAGAACGTTTCCGAAAAACGGACTGCCTTTAGTTCGATTAGGGGGGCAGTCGTTTTCCAGAAAAGTCATCGTCCATCTGGATTGCGGACTTCTTTTGCACTCATGGCCTAAATAGCAAATCAGCTTTTCGACTTGCCATGAATGAATGTTGATCTCACTCTGCAATTGCATTTAAATGTATTATGATGGTTTATCAAACTAAGCAATATAACACATGTACAGAAACATTAACACAAGCACACAAAATTATTTCGTTTATTTTATGGCTTTTTTTCTAATAATCGAAAATAGTTGGCCCAATGAGCCGATTTCGTTTCCGATAATTTGATTAAAATCGAATTTTAACCATATTATTATACTATTAATGAATATGCTTAATTAATTCGACAGTTATTAACTGAAAATGCTTTCAAATTACGAAAAAGAGATTGAAATTCTAAATCACAAGAAAGTAATAAAAATGATTGCATTTCGTAATGGAAAACTGAACTAAACGATAACGTCGTGAATGAAAACGGTACTTACAGTTTTATCTTTGAAGGCAGACAAAGTTCCTTGGGTGAACTGGAACATTAACGTCTTGAAAAGTTTCGATTTGCTGTCAGCAAACCTCAATTCTCCGGAAATTGGCAACGGTTTTTCTATGATGTACTCCCAGTATTTTGATAAGTTCACGCACGTTAAATAATTGTCCTTTCGGTCTGCAGCGTCCCAGTAACCCCATTTCAGAACTACATCAAGCACCTAAATAATTGCCAATTTAATAAAAATATTACAAAAGTCCCTAGACGCTTGCAATCAGATAATGAAGGCCAATTTGCGCATTTACACGCACATAATGGTGTCAAAATATTATCTAAATAACTTGAGTAAATTGCTGGCTTTCCATCTGTGTAGAAAGTACATTGATGTGCTTTCCCAATGGACCATATTCCAAAAGCATTTAGTTTCCGATATACACTCTTAAAATGTTCATAAACAAAATAAAATTTATCAATATTTTGAAAACCACAATACTTAAGGAAGTTTAACATGATTTAGCAGTTCACGAAAATTTGTTTTGTGATATGAAATTTGGAAAAAACTAGATATAAGCACACTTATAAGAAAGCAACTTTGTTTACGTTAAATATCCAAACCGGTTCGATCGCGAAGTGAAATTTGCTACAAAATCGCGAATAAGAAAAAAACTGAAACCGAACAGCATAGCAATGAGTCAGCCGAAGGGCGAGCATGCGGACGATTAAATCATTATGTAAGTTTTGTAGTTCGGTGCGTTTTTAATGTGATAAACCCTTAATATTTAGTTCAGTCTATTATGGGAAACGGACGAAATCGGTCGTCGGCCCTTTGTTCATAAACGGGATAAATGTACCAATTTGGTGCCATTTAGGCACATGCGATAGATCATCCTGAATCTTTGGCTCAGTTTCTGATATACTAAAGCATGTTTTGCGTCTGCATGCTGCAGGATTAAGTTTTCACCTCGGAGTGGATTTAAGTGCATTCATCACACCATTGTGTGTTTAAGTGCCGTGTGGACTTAAATGGGCAGAAAATGGAATATGCAGAAATGGGGTATGCCAGCTTGCAAAAAGTTTCATTTTCCGAAAAGCAACTGCAGTTTCATGCATTCTTTACATTTTTACATTTATTCTTAATGGTTTGGGACAGAGTTCCTGCAGAATTAAAGATATTTTCTTCCTTTTTTCCAGGTGGCACGATGCAGCTTTCGGTAAGTTTGACTTTACTTTGCCCCTGGTTGCCATATTTAGACCGTTTTTAGTCTCATATAGGCTTGTTTTTATGATATTGTTGCATGTAATATTTATTGCACGAAGAACGACATGGTACCTTCTGCATTCTGGATAGGATTTTTTCATTTTTTCAAGTTTATTTCTACAAAGTTAGTTTAAATTCAGATATGAAATGAAATCGCACAAAATAAATATAAACTTCGTGTCGTTTTGCTGTGAATTACATCTGTTAGTGTCGCATAAGGAAATTTGTGATATTATTGAGGTTTTTTTCAGTCAATTACACCCCAAATTAAACGGTCTTGTATTATCAATAAGCAATGCTTTTTTGAAACTTTAGTTGGAATCAAGCGGTATAGATATCTTAGATAAACCAATTGGCTTTCGCGTGGTAAAAAAACCAATTTTATTTATCCAAGTCCATCAAAAAGCAAGATTAAAAATAGATTACCTTTTCAGTGTGATGGATAGGTCTGAACAGACGCTCGCTCAGAATAACTTCTTCCAAAATGATCTCGTGAACGGGAGTATTGATTTTTTCCCCCAATTCCACGCACACTTCATAGGCGGTTCGATTTGGGCCAATCTGTGGCAAAACGTTGAAAATAATTCAAATAATCAATTAAGGTCGATGTTACTTACGGCAATGTTGTGAGCCTTCCCTTCTTTATTAAACAGATAGATCCAAACTCGAAGATCTCCTGACGTCTTTGGGTTCACGACTCCTTGAGGGCTTTGAAGGCACTTTTGCAATACCTGAAATCAGTACATAATATTATCTCCAAATGATTAAGAATACTTTGAGAAATGTATAATTAAAATCGATTATTAATTGTGATTTGGATACATTTTGAGTTTTCGTATTGATGAAAATATGCTTTACATTTCGGTTCAATTACAAACTGTGGCGATGAATCTAGAAATTGATGGTTTGGGAATGGAATTCGAATTAGTTAGTTAACAACAGAAAAAAATGAAAAATGAACAGACGTAGATTTGGAATGCCAGATTATTATTTTCCGAGAGTTTGAACGCCAATTAAACAATAATATAGCTATTGTCAAGCGTCTCTGCATAGTATCGATTAAAATCGAATAGGGAGTACCTTTAACATCAATTGCTCCTTCTCCAATTCACTGGGATCTTCAGGAAACACAGACCGATAATGCCGTATTAATTGGCATACGACCTCTGCATCCTGAACATGATGTGCTCCGCTGGTAGCGGCCGGCCGATCTTTGTCCTGTGAAATGAAAAGATATTTTGACAAAAATTGTAAAAACAAGAAAAACGTGTTACTTATTACCAAAAGACTATGAACCATTGGGCTCTTTTGGCCCCTATTTGCCTATTATTAACATAAACTAGATAACATACTTACTTCGTAATGCATCAGTGTCGGGCCCCAAATCGAAGCCAGATTCTCCACTGTCATCAGATTTTTTGCACTTTGGTTGCTTATGAAGTGCAAATGTCCTAATAGCTTCTTTGCGGTTTTGTACGAAACGGGTGGAAGTTGATCAAGTGCTGCTTTGAACATGCGGATCTTTTCGTCTTTCACATTATGTTCTAAGCAGAGAAAAGATACAATAAATCAGGAGGTTTCAATAACATAAATAAAAAATGCTGCTGTATCTCGTACCTCAGTCAATCCTGAATGACAACTATAAGCAGCAAAAGTATTTTAAAAAGTACTGTTATCATGTGTATTTTTTATACTTACTAGCCACTTCATATAAATATTGCCGGTGATCACAGCCGAAAAGAGGTTCGGGCAACTCTCTGAAGAAACGTTTCAGAGCAGTAGCCACTTCGTACTCCGAATGGTCGCTTTTAGTGAGCTGCACGGCAAATGCATCCTTCCGGAATTTAGCCAACAGCTCCGAAATCGCAGAACTGGTGCCCGCTTTCCGGTAAATTCCCTCTGAGATACTGCCTGCAATCGAACGAGAAACTGTTCAATCGAATTCGACCCGTTAAGAGGCGTTAAACCTTACCGTATGCGAAAATAAAATTAATACACTTTTCCACAATAACTGGAATGTCGTTTTTGGTCAGTTGCTGTTGATCTATATTGGCTCCATTATTATGCGCTTCCAGCTTAACGATATGACACCACACCTAGAATAAAATAAAACTAAATCGTATTTGCTGATCAAGAATTAAAGACTTAGAATGATGCTTAGGCATTTTCTTTGAAAGTGGAATTGGATTTTGAGATGGATCTGTCCGCGACGTGACTAACCATAATAATACTCGTCATAATAAGAACTTTACTACAGTGCTCCAATTCAATTAAATTCGTTAGGCAACAAAGGATGAATTATATGGGAATAGTTTACATTACCACATACCTTGGTCTCTCGGGCCGTCCACATTCTCAAGTGTAAGGTCACATCTGGACAATCCACTAACATATTCGGTCCCTTGTCACTCGTTTTGGGATTATTGTCGGAATCCTGGTAGCCTAAAATGTTGTTGAAAGCTTAAGAGATTTAATTCGATCGCTGAAAACTCACTATGGAGAACAATACATCTGGCCTTTCTTAAATCGACTGTCTTTACCGAGTGCCGATCAACAGCAAAATGCAGTTCACGCTCAGATAACATAATCCAAGCGCCAGCCCATTTGCCACTAACACCTAGAAACAAAATGTACCGAATTGTTGAGCTTGCATTTGGTAGTGAAACTGGACTTACCTTGTCGAACATAAGCCCACCCCATTCGTTTATAGTTCGTCGTAAGTCGAGATTTAAATCTCTGCGTTAGCATTTCAGCCAAACATTGCAACCAAATCCTTCTCTCGCTTATACTGCGAGATCCGTATACGTGCCCGCCTCTACTTTTGCCTGTGATATTGAGTTCGAAACAATGCAAGTCATCATTATCATATCTACAAACGGAAAACTTGTACGTGATTTTCTACGTCAGAACGTAGCTTCAACACAAACCTATATTTATATTTTGCATCTTGAAGAAGTTGGATACTGAGGATATTGGCGGCCGGAAAATGCTCCTTAAGATGTAAACAAGTATTGTCCGCATAGCAAAACAAATCTGCGTTCTCCAATACGCACCACCTGCCACTGTATTCACCGAAAATCTCTTCGACTGGACCACCCTGAACCTACAAATAGATTATTGCTATGGTTAGAATTAATAGTATTTTCTAAACGTTTCACATACCTTATACAACATCCCTCTTTTATTGACAAAATGTTTGCCCCCTAATACTGGACGCTCCACAAGATTGTCAGATGTTTTGCTCTTAAAAACATCAGGGGCCTTCACCAGCACATGCTTTTTTACTTGATTTAGCCAACTTTTCTTGCGCTCTATAGTGGGAGGCCTAAACAATAAGTTTACATTCATTTTCAATAGTTTTTTGGTTTTATGGCGACATAAATACTTAAACAAACTACAAATACGCCGTAACGCTGATCTCTTTGTCGACAAGTCATTTAAAGTACTTTTTTACTAATTCAACTCGAAAATTATGAATGCAAACTACTCTGTTCGGTTCGTACAGAGTAGCAACTTTGCTAGTACGTTTTTGGGTTTCACTAATGTTTTAATGCATTACCAGATTTCGGAAAATAAACGATACGAAACACAACTATTTTCACTAAACAGTGAATACGAAAAATACAAAATAAAACGTGCCTACATGTTTGTGGCCTAAGATTGCTCACCTGGAGGGAGCTAAGTGCGTATCCGTATACCAGTTACTTCTCGACTTAGTCTCATGTTGGTATTTGCTCGACGTCTTCTCCGTTTCCAACGAGTCTGACACAGATTTTTCCGTTTCCTTTGATTCCTCTTCGGGTAAGGAGTCGAACCTCATAGGGGGTGTGGGTGGGTTTAAAAATTCGCCGCTATCGGACTCATTGCTTACACTCCAGTCCCCTTCGTCAACTGTGTAGGATTCTGAAATGTCACCGTACAAGTCCTCTTGGAGCAATTCTTGCAGCAGGTTCATTTCGGAAAATTGTGTGCCACTCGATTCTATGGACCAAAAAATGCATCTTTAGTGTCTAGTGAGCGGCAGTTTTCAATTAAAACTGGCATTTTTTACTACATTTTTACACCATACCACTTTTGCTCAGTATTTGTTAGTTACACATATTTCTGCGAGTGTTTTTCACTATAGTCTAAAAAATACTGAAACGTTCTTCAGCGAATAAAATTCAACATACAAAGTATTGTGCGTTTATACTATAAATTACCGGCAAATAAAAAACATTCGCAGCAGGTTCGACCTCGGCAACTAAATAACTATTTCAAACTTCGCGACTATACGTACATACCATGATTCAAAGGATCGAACTGCATAAGGACGCTGTTTGATGCCCTAATTTTGTCCTCTTTCTCCTGAGTCTGTCTTCTGGGCACTACATGATTTTCATACATTGAGTTCGAGTGACTCTCGGCAGAGACATTCGACAGAGTCCTTTGATAATCTGAGGGTTTTGCATTGTTAATTTTATCAGGAACCAATAATGTTTCGATTCTTGTTGAATTGTTGGATTCCACAATTATATCTAATTGCGACGGTTCATTTGAGCTTGAAATGTTTCCGTAAATCGCCTCCTAAAGTAAAACCGTACAATATGATGCTTTGCAGACGTGGCAGTTTACATACTTGTATCATAGAGTTTGCCACGCTGTCGTAAAAGGCCCAAGATGCTGATCGTGTAAGATCTACATTTTCGGCAAGTTTCATTTCGGTGTTGTCAATGCAAATATCTGATTCGCTGTTGTAACGATAGGCAGGAAAAACTCTTTCGTATTCTTCCCCTTTCGTTGGCGGCGCGATCCCTAAATACAAATCCAAAATACTAGACTGAAAAACTATGAAAACATCGGATACGTACCTGACTTGCTCGAATTACTACTGGAAGCAATCGGTGAACAATTGGAAGGTGCATCATACAAACTTTCATCGGGTAAAGGTGGCGGAGGATGAATGGGAGGCGGTAAATTTAACGACTCGTTCGAAGATCCAGCTTCGACTTCATTGTCGACGTTACTGTAAATGCTGTTAGCACTTCTTAGAGGCGAGTCAAATCTGGAATTGTAAATATGTGCGTTAAAAACAAATTATTAGAGGAAATTATAGTTTCCAAGGTGGTTATCCAAGAAAAACCCTTTTCATTCAAACCCTAATCCACCTTTTCAAAGAGCTGTAGAAACTGCCCGTTTGAATTAATTTTATAATTTAACATACCAAATTATCTGAAAAAACGGTGATAGTTAAAATTTGGACCCCTGCTAAAAAATCATCCGGCATCTGAAACTGCTGAGTTTCTCGAGCTGTTTAGGCTGTTGTGGATTAGCACTACTTTTTGGCGTTTCGCAAGCACAAGCGGCGTGCATCTTCAGAGGTAGCTTGCTTGAGAGCTCACCCTGTACAGAGCACGCTTTCGAGCAAACCACCTCATAAAATAAGATCCTCTCGTGCTAGCGAAACTTCAGGAAGAAATTCTAATCCACAACGCCCTAAAAGATCGAAAACTCGCCAGTTTCATCGACTGACCGCGAAAGCCTTGATACATCCGCTTTCTGTAATTGTGCCCTGACTTCCATCAAGAAATGCTTCCTGCTCTAATAAAAGCAATTAACAAGTTTCGAACGGAAGTCGCTCCATGTCTTAGTTCTCTAGTCAAATATTTATCTCACCTAATTCCTTTATATCTAATTCCAAATCAAATTCATTCCTGGGTTTCAGTCATTTATTGTCTATCAATCAAAATACGTTTCCGTAAATTTTTTGCCGAGCAAGAAAATGCATGCCAAGGCTTAAAGCAGCAACAACGCTACACATAAAAACTGATGATGGTGGAAAAATACGCCGAAACGTATTTTGATTGATAGACAATAAATGGCTGAAACCCAGGAATGAATTTGATTTGTTTGAATTGAAACACTGTCAGGAAAGTATATACAATTTAAATCTAATAAAAGTACAAAATGAACATCGCTTCAGAATTTACGATTTGCAAATTATGCTTATAAAATGCTTACTGGTCATACCAAGAACTGAATTTCGTGATATTTATAGTGTAAGTTTTCGTTAGACGACTCGATGACGAACCATTTTCAAAATAACACTTCGATGTTAACTAAAAATGTAAACGTATTGTAAAAGTACTGAAATCTTGTTTTGCAAAGCTTATTTGGTTTTAACAAGCATTTTATCCAAGAAAACCAGGTGTTCTAGTTATCAGCCCGATATAAAAATAGATTGTAAATTTTATCCCGATTTTATAGTTGTGCGATATCTCACAATGGTAATCAATAACGGATTACGCATATTCTTGGCAACTTATAACAGGTCGTCGCATGTAAAAAACCACCTCAACTCATCCCAGTCTCTACCTGTACCCTCTCCCTATTCACCTCGACAAGACTATTTACCTGATATTATTGAACATCTCAATTGTTCCTCCATAATCCTGATTATTCTCAGCTTCTTGACTGTCTTTTTTTTGGTCCTGAGACGTGGAACTAAAGCGGCGCGTGAGCCGCCTCATGCTTTGTCTGGTACCTTCAATGACGGCTTTTTTGCGGTCGTGCACCATTTGTCCCAAATCCCCTGCAAATTTAACCAGCCTTCAATCATTTATTACTATGAGAAGCTGAGAATCAAAAAAATTGCAGAAAAGATGCAAAGAACTGACATCTACTTTGTTCGAAGTCGTTTTCCAAGCCTGAGGTTCGTACTTGTTTCTATCAAACTCAACACACTCTTAATCGTGGCACACAACAGGGTTAGAGATGAAATCAAAAAGCAAATAGGAAAATAGAATAATTTTGTGGATAGACAAGCATTTTTCAAACAATTGCTTGATGTGGGGCGCTTTCTAGGTGAGATCCTGAGAAAAGGAATATATAAAATCGAAAATGAGAAAAGGAATATACGGGAACAACCGGCAGAATGGCACATATTCAAGTGTTTATTAATTTATTTGAGTTAAATTATGCCCTTTTTGATCGCCACATTTTCAGGTTGTTTTATATTGCTGAATTGTAATAATGATCTAAAAAACATCTTAGAGTCTTGCGAATTCAGCTTTGAAATTCTATTCTAAACATGTACAAAAAACTACAAAATGTATACACTCAATACTGAACTACAAGTATAACAATTTAATTTAAAAATTTTTGCTTTACATAGGTAACTTATTTAATCATAAGGAAGAATAATATCATACAGAAGAAGGCAAACCTGGTTTCTTGCGACTTCCAACTAGGTTGTCACTAATTATAACATTTTCGCATCTTTCAGTTGAAACAATTTCAGAAAATTTTTCATTTTGGCTCACCTGGTAAGATAAAAATGAGGAACTAGTCAAATAAACACAATTGCAAAATATTAGCGACGCATGCAAGTAGTCCATTAGACAAGACGCGCATTAGCTGAGCAGACTTTTTAAGTTGATTCGAATAAATATTGTGTAGTATTTTCAAACTTCGTGTTTCTTATTCCAGCTACTTATTGCAGGATTACAGTAGCTGTCTTAGAATATGTACATTTATGATTTAAAGATGAGATGGATACTGTGTCTGTTTGAAACTGATCCTGGCTAGCTCAGTTAGGTTTTATCGAGTTTGCCCCCATCAATGACCCCGAAATCGTACACGGCGTGCACTTAATAAAAACAAAGCCAACATTCACACCAATCATTTTATGCAATAAGTGTTTAATTTGCCGGATGCCAACCAAGGAGTCATTTAATACCAGTTATAGGTCAGAGATCTTTAATTGAAACTTTTAAATGTTTTTCCTGACTAATCCAACACTCATGCCTCATGCGGTTTGTTTCGTTGGGAACTCATTTCAATCTTCGAGCTATCAATGCGAAGATTTACACTAGGCCGATTAATTTACTAATGATTATTAGTCATTTGTTGATCATCATACTGTGCCCATTCAATACGACATGAAAATTCAGTCCGCAATGACTTTGCGTTTCAATTCATTGCTAAAGTAACGAGTTTCTAGTTTGATTATATAAAGGGACTCGAACAGTTTAATAAACTGCAATTCGGCGTGAAATTTATGACCACAGTAGTTGATCATTTTAACTGAAAAATCCATTAACTGCAGACTTTGCGACCGACAATTTATCGTAATCGGTTTTGCTTTTTCAGTTCGAAAGTAAGTAGGACAAATTTCGACAAATTTTGGAACTGGATAAATTCTGATTGCTGAGAATGTTATTTAGTGCAATTCATTTTTGGTTAGTGCGTGTTTCGCATACAATGATTGCTTCAGATAAAGTTTCTACAGGGTGTCAAATTAAACAATGCAAACTTGCTGAACGTTTCACTTGCTCTTAGTTGGACATCAAAACGTTTTTCTTTTCTATTTCAACAGCATAAGCATTAAGATAAATCTCGTATCGCAAAAAACATTTTTGAATTTGTCTACCATCTCGTTTCTCGTCTCAAAAAATCAACTTGCTGGTCTTGCAGTGATCATTTTTGTTCTCTTGAACTGATTTTCAACATCTAAGGCCCATATTGAAGCTAAAACTTCGCAGTCAAATTGAGAAAAACATTCCATAGAGCTGCTTGCATGAATGAACGCAATATTTTAAAGTAAGTTAGTTGAAAATCTTCCAGAATCACAGATTTTGGGGTCAAATCTGATTTAGGTATTTTTTAGGAAACCCTGTATATCAATATTTCGTCTTAAATTCTCCATGAAATTTAAGATGCAACACGAAGTGAAAATCGGACCAAGAACAGAAAAGTTAACGCTGCAAGACTGAAAAGTGTATTTTTTTAAACCGCCCTGTAGATAGAAGACATGGCCGAAAAATATAAAACTGTTTCAAGCTATTTGGTTTATCTTTAAACTTTTAGTCTTTAGATCCTAAAAACTGTATTTTTGTCCATTTGGGAGAATGTAGAACATTCCGCAATTTTGCATTTTTTTGTCACCCTGTAGAAAAGTTACCTGAGATGCTTAATTTTTACCACTACATGGACTAACCGAACACAGATGGTGCGAGATAACGCTTCAAACAGAAACCAAATTGCACGAAGCATAAGAATTTATCCAGTTTTAAAGCTACGTTTTAGTTAAAAGTTTATTGTATATACTTTCCTGACTATGTTTCAATTCCAAATCAAATTTATTCTTGGGTTTCAGTCATTTATTGTTTCTATTTATCAATCAAAATACGTTTCGGTGTATTTTTCCACCATCATCAGTTTTTATGTGTAGAGTTGTTGCTGATTTTTTGTATGCCAAAAAATGCATGCAAAGCTTAAAGCAACACATAGTAGTTAAAAATGCCAATTTATGACAATTCGGGAGTTCAAAGGTCCAAACGCCCACTGGCGGCTAAATTAAAACTACACTTTTTTGACACTTATTTTGACTAGATGTCATTGTGGTTTTGTTTCGTTTAGTTCTACTCAGCCCGACTCAGCTTTTGCAAGGCTTTCAACAACTAGAAACATACATATTGTGTAAAGTGTGTCCATGTTGTTTTATGCTATCGACTGACAAACAAAGGTGAAAATATGGGATGTCAGGAAAGTATTACCAATGTATTAGCGATTTTGCAGCTAACAATATTTACGTTTCGAAGCGCCCCATCGGCAGTGGGCCTCTTTTTTTCGTTTTCTTTTAAGAAATCTATGTAATAAGCACAAGATGTAAATGTTTCCACATTGGTTGAGGACCACCCTGTATATCCATAGAGCAAGCTCAGATTTAAATCATCTGCAAGTGCGTGTGCCACTATTATAACAGTGTTAGATAATCCATTTGATTACAAAGAAGAACATGAATAAATTTGGGTGCTCACCTGCGATTTGCTTAGAAGCACTGGAAACTCTCTTAGAAAATGTGTTGAACTGGTCACTTCTTTCCGTATCCATTTTATCCGAGTTGGGTAGACAAAGGTTTTCTGCAGCTGTTTGAACTCTACTGTTGCCTACAACTGCTTCCTCCGCAATGGCATCTGATTTTTCAGAATCAGATTTGATCTCCGGCTCAGGATTAGCCTTAATTCGACTGCGGGGAGTTGGTACGGGTCTCTTACCCTCTCTGGGTGCTGGTACTGGTCTATCCATAGCCAAGTGCAAGCTTTTATAACTTCCGTATGTATGGGAGCTGTGACTAATGCTGATGTATATTAATTATGTTGCAACAAAACAACTGACGAGAGTAAAACGCGACTTATCAACTGAAGACTGTTTAAACAACTGAAAATTCGGGTCTAAATACTGATAAAATTTTCACAAACGAGGGGATAAATAAGACGATCCGCGATACGTTCATGTTAATTCAGTAAKAATAGATAAATGAATCTAATCACAATATGACGCATCAGCAAACAGCAACAATCACTATTTGTTATCATTCCACAGTTTGTGGAAAACCATAAACTYCATATGTAGGCGGCAATGTATGCAACTGTTTCTCATAGAGACCAACTTTTCCCAATTTGCTGCTGCCGGGACGACAACAAAAAGCGAATAAMTATCATAACTTCCGATCAATCTGTCTTTAGATAATCATAATCACAATCTTATTAATCACAAAATGACAATATTGAGTCATGGCGAATGGCAAGAATAAGTAAACATTAATCGCGACGTTGCCTGACTTCTTTCTTTGAATTTCCAATGGCAACCAAACAGTAAAGGCCTGTTCACACGGTACAACAACGTCATTGTCTGAACTAGGGCTCGGAATCAAACTCGAATAATTCGAGTATTCGAATATTCGAAAAGCGAATAATTATGTGTAGTCATAATTCGAATACTCGAATATTCGAATATCCGAATATTCGAATACTCGAATACACCAACATTATCAAACTCACAAGGTGCACGTTGTATACTTTTATAAAATAAATTATTCATATTCTACAAGCATTTAAACAAATACCCATATCACAAGCAAATGAAAATAATCATATTTACTCTCTTGCAAATAAATGTAAAATTACGTCTCTGTGTTCTGGTGAATACTCGAATACTCGAATACTCGAATATTCGAATACTCGAATATTCGAATACTAAACCGTCAACCCGAACGGCGTACAATTTATTTCTGAAACAAGCTCTCAATAGTCTATCCGATGGTGTGAAAATGTTGCCATGAAAAAAATCAAGATGACATCGAAACTGTCAAAATTGACATCTGCCAAGCTTTCCAAGCTCGCATCTAAATTCCTTGACACATTATATTGGTGTTATGAAAAATCATTTGGGTGAGACACTTAATAAAATGTCCCATACATGTAGGTAAATGTTAAAAATCTTAGCGCACTATTCCTAGTCTAATATATGTGATCTGACAACCTGACAACACTGGTGATTGTAATAAGAGCTTATCCCATATTAATGTCCTATAAGTTTAGGAGCATAATCTCACATACAAGGAAAGAAGATTATTTAATTGTCTGTGAAATTTCTCAAACACCCAAGGAATACATAAGTACATAAGAACTTAAATATACTCCGTACGTATAACTATGGTCGTACGTCCTCAATCGTCTGTCGAGCATTGTTGCCGTACCCGCCAAAAATTATATACATATATTTAAATACTCCAAGCAGTATTAAATTATCTCAGTGCTGTCTCACTTGTGTTATTATTACATTAAAAAGCATGGTAGAAGTTTCAGATCTGAAATAATAGACATTTTCGGCACATTTCAAGCATTTTTTGAGCGTTCACGATCTTTAGCCGACGATTTCTTCC